GGTCATTGTCTCCAATCAGCGATTAGGCTGGTTCCTAGATCTGCAACGGATGGAGTCTCTCAATCATGTTTTCTATGTTGTCATGCCATATATATATATTTCATACACATCTGAGGTCAGACTGTGTGCCAAACAAATCATGATACAATGATCTTTATAAAAAGAAAATAGTTCCATGATTTGCATGTGAGCGGAAAACTTCCCGGTTGCCAAGGCCAAAAGTGGTGAATTTTCTCGGGGAATTCACAACCGGAGCCTTAGACTAGCCAAAGTCTGATTCACAAGGCAGCGGGACGGTGTGATGCAATGCATTTGGGGACTGTGTCCAATAAATCTTGATGCTCAATTGAACCAGTGACCACTGCCACAACCAGGAAGTTTTGTGTGTGGTTCGTACATCTCTTCTTGGTTTTTTTTGGAATCAGGGATTTTAGCCCAATCCTCTAGGTGGGCTTCCAGTGGTTCCCCAATTCGGTTATAGCCCCAAATACTGGCTCTTCGTCCTCTCACTTTCGTTGGAAAACACCACGGGAAGGCAGTATGTAAAGCTTCCTCAGCGGAAGCTATTTGAGACGCTTGGTCTTTTAGGAGCCTTTCGCTAGGTGCAAGGGAAGGGTGACCAGCCACAGCCCAAGAAACCCAACTTCGACCATACTGAGGCTCTTGGAAGCATGTCAGCTCTTAGTTTGTCCATTCTTAGTGCTGTTCCGGTCTGCCACTATCTGGTGGTCCCAACCAATGAAATTTCTAGAGGCATGACCGCGACTGTCAGCTTTTGTTCATGTGATCGGGTTATCCCACCAGTCCCGCACAGTGTACTGCAAACAAAAGTGTCCCAACGCCGATGGTCTTTCTTCATCTTGTTTTCCCAACGGTCAGTTTACTGCAGCTTATGGCAATTCAGTTCAATGTCAGTTTCTACAACCCTTAACCATGCACTATCGTAAGCCGGTTTTGGTTACTGTCTTTTGACTGTCCATTTTGATGAACCTGAGGAGGAAGACAGGAAAAGTTGAAAGTAGGTTGAAAGAAAATTTAGGATTTCATTGCGCTAATTTTGCAGAGAAATGGACAAGATGCACGAGCACCACTGTTTACGACACCCAGTTATATCACTCAGTCTCTCTAACCATCGGGTGTGATCATCCCGAGGTCCCCATCCAGGGAGCCTAACGGGACTTACGTGACCCAGACTCCTGGTTAGTGTTTTTGCAGTTTATAGCAGCCTCGGAAGGACTGTTTCAACATCCAGTCGACCTTTCATAGACAGGCGGTTATCGTGGGGGCATCTTAGATACCTTAACTTGATAAGTGCGAGCTAATCCCGCTGTTTACCTCCACTTGGGAATCATTGCCACCTGGTTAACGGA